AAAATACCTATATCTCCAACTCATATTAAGTGATGTTATAACACACACTGCTATTCACTATCACTGTGTAGGTCTGTATGATTAATTTCATCATATACACTAGTACTTCGATAATGAGTAAAATGATTATTATGTCGGCATCTAATTTATTTACGAATTCTTAATTATAGTAATATACCGGTATATATTGCTTGCATCTTCTGGGAACACTGGATAAGTAATAGTGAGGTTACACTCAAGGTATTAGGGTATGATGGTAAATCAGTTGATGAGGTTGTAAATCTTCATCGACTGAGATGGTCGGGCCACGTGTTGTGTATGCCTGCCTGAACATCGATTACCACAACGCGCAATGCTGATTAATGTTAGAGACGGTTGGAAGAATGTTAGGGGCGGCTAAACCAAAACATGGCATCAGTCCAAGAAGTCACTAACTTCTGGTCTGAGCCATGTGGATGGTAGATGTAGACTACTTTGTTGGAGTCCGTGTGACTATCATAACCAATGGTTGCTGACTGTGTGTGTGACATGGCTCAGAATCGATCACAATGGTGTAGGTGTATACACTGTCCATCTTCCCTTAAACTATGAGATTGAAACTGCTTCGTATCTTTCTTTCCACAAACTGATTCTTCCTTCCTGTACTATATATGCAATCTTTCTTTTATATATTACCACCACTGAATTAACTACCTCTATGAATCCGGTGTTCATCTTGTTTTGTTAATGAGTGAGGTTTGGCAATTTTGATCGATGCACATGTGTGCCTGGTTCTATATTGTAGCTGACTGACTGACCGGTATACATATTCTACATTTCGAATTATTATGTCATTCCACACATACATACAGAATTGACTGTTGAACATGTTTGGACAAGCGTCCAGCATTAACTTGTTTTAAGCCTTGTGAATCATTGGTAATTATCATTTTATTTATTGAACGATTAGCCCATCAACATAGCAGATACATAACTTGACAATTCGTCTTCGTTCATTATTAATTAAAGTTGGTTATTTCGATAATTCCAAATAGATAAGCCAATTGAAATAATTATCCATAATCCTACAAATAGAATCAACCAATGAAAATGGGTCTATCATCCATAGAACTTGACCAATCAAATTTTAATCAAAAACGGTAGGTTTGGACCACTTAGCAAGAAAGTTAGATTGAACCAATCACATTAGTAATTCCCCACCCACCAACCCTTCCTTTACAAAACTTATCTACCCCTTAGAATTTTACTTATTTGATTCGCTATATGCTTGTTGACTCATGTAATCTGTTTAACCAATGAGATTGCTCTTAGCGTGGCAGTGTAATGTAAGATTGTAAATTACTGTACTCTATGAATTTGCAATAGAGTTTTTACTCGTAAATGTAGTGATGGCGAATGAAGTACATAAAGTAATTTAATAACATGTATGGCAGAGAGTGGGAGAGACAGCTCTCCCTCTCCAAATGCTCTAACATGACCATATGCTTACAACCACAACCACAAAAGTCCTACTCACTATCTTCTCGTGGCATTACTGTTGTTTACGAAATTGAGATTACCGAAAACCGGATGTTTGGTGCCTTAACCGACTTGGCGACTCCACCTAGGGGAGTTAGAAAACCCTGATTCAAAACCAATGATGCACATGGGCTGGCTCTAGGATCCTGAAGGAACAAATAGACTATGGACCAATTATTGGTCACCGGTTACCATGGGATTGTATCTACTAACGCTGCTCCACTGCCTTGTGGATTAGACCTATGGGTCAATGGCTCCGGTGTGGCCCGTCAAGGAACCACCTGGTTCGATTTGGGCACCTGGACAGTATCCCAGCCCTCACACAAATGATTTATGTGGTGCATATGTATTTGGTGCATCCTTGTACTAACGTTTATGTGTTTAAATAAATATATAAATTTGTTTTGCAAAAAAATGTATGACTTAACGGAATAAGTAAGATGGAAATAACCAATATAAGAAATCATATAATTACATGACTGAAGTTTCAAGAAGTTCCTTGAAATCCCTAAACTACAATGAAGTACATTACGTATGATATGCATATTTCAATAGATTATTCTGTGAGATATTTTCAAGAAATTATGCCTGTATGTCAGTGACATTTTTAATTAAGTGTTGCTAATAATAGTAACAACAGACTTTTGAAAGGAAGGAAGTCTATTCTGGGGTTGAAACCGTTAATGTTTAATAAATTTATATTGTGACAGTTCCGAAATGAATGTTGGCAACATCGAAATGAAGCATTTTAAAGAAAGGTGTGTATCATTTGTATTCGAAACAACATATTGATAAATTTTTGTTATATATATGTATATATGGTGAAATTTATTCAGTGTCCGCAATACATAGAAGAATCAATCTTTTCTTTTCAAGTGGAATTAATACACCTAATGAACTATGAATCAATTGTACATGTTATTACTTACTTAAGCCTGTTACTGCCAACAGAGCGTAGGCCGCCGACCAGCATTCTCCAACCGACACTGTACATGGTATTAACGCAGTAATAAGAAACGAACACATCTGATTCCAGGCTAAATTATTAGTTACAGATGAAAGCATATTCTGGAATACTGAACGGATACCAAGATCGAATCAGGTAGTTTTCTTAGAGAGCCACATCTCGAGCCTTCGACCTAAAGGTCTGATCCACAAGGCAGTGGAGCAGTGTCAGGAGATGCAGTCCCACGGTGACCAATAATTGGTTCCTACGCCATTTGTTCCTTCAGAATCCTGAAGCCAGTTTATGTGTACCATTGGTTCGGAATCAGGGTTTTTCAGCTTCCCTAGGTAGACTATCCGTGTCCACAAACCCGGTTAGAGCCCCTGTCGGACATTCGCTTTTCGTCCTTTCAATTTCGTAAAGAACACCCCGCCTTGAGACTTATCACGGGACAACTAGGCGAGATGTGATATTTCTAGACGTCACATTTCCTAAACCCCTCATTCTGTTGTGATAAGACACTATGGAACCAGATGCTGATTGTCTGATGGATAATCACTTTACTTCTGTCGCACCCCAATACAACCAACACTATGAATTCGCTTTCGAACTATGACTTTAGTGTTTCTAATTTCACACTCTCCGATCGAACTCTGTGGTATGGAAGGATGTGTATTCTAGTCAATATGACTCTATTGTGTCACCATCATAGACAAACCTGATCATCACGTCAAGGTGACAGCTACAGTTGGGAAGTGAAATTCGACCAGGAGATATTCATCTCTTTGGCGAACGAGATCAAACGATGGTGAGTTAATTGGCATTGATGTTAAGATTTTAAGTAGTCGCGATCAATATTATATATTCAATGGGTAAATATAATATGTCGAAATAGTAATTTTGCTAAATAGACCAATTATAATTTCAACAAATGAATTGAAACATGCTGTCAACACTTATAATAATCAAGTCATGAGTTGAAAAGCCTTATTAAGCACAACGAATTGAAATTAATGGGAGAGATGACAGAGGAGTTGAAATGATAGTAGTATCAATTATGGTATTGAGAAAAACAAAATTGATCAATACATATTAGTAATTTCCCGTTGATGATATCCGGGATCGCAATTAATCAGTCTGTTGTTATATGTACACCCTGAATCGATTCTCTCATTTATAGTCCTTTATTTCAAGTTATTATATATTCAGTATGTGGCTAGTAGTGGGATTTGAGACTCATATTTTGTCTTACTTAAGACTCGTCAAATAAGACGAAACGCTTATCTTAGTTTCCACTGATAGCCACATACCAAATATACAATAACTTGTGGCCAAACGTCGTATCAAGGTAAAAAGGTTAACCGAAATAAACTCTGGACTAGTTTATGGCGGTGATATATGACTGTCGAAGGTAAAAGGCATTCGTCAGTTACAATTATGGTTTTCTTTAAGTCATTCCTCACATATAACTGAACAATAGATCAATGCAAAAATTAGGTTTAGGATTTCAGAAAAATTGGGGATTTGACTCTTTAGAATACGGCATTTCATAGAATGAGTTGATTGAGACAAGTGTTAACATATTTAACCACCACTTATCTTGATATGTTCTTCTAGCAATCAAAGACGTAGGTTGCTTCACAGTAAAAATTAGTATGAATGCATGAAGCCACTGACCCTTGAATTAACTTACGAAGGCTTTTCAGTTGACATTCACGAGACGATAGCTTTTTAATGGGTTTTAATGCTTACTGACATGATTGGGATTCATTTGCATAAATCTATTATTGTTCACGACCAACGAATTAACAATGACATATAAGCATCCCCTTGTTAACTGACTAATCAAGTAAGATGTTTTCTTATCAGTACTAATAATCATAAAATCTAGATTATATGCATTATTTCAACTGTCTACAATTATGCAAACATACACAATGATAACATGCCGTCATTACCAGTCTTATTCATCAATTAATAGTTGAATTCATGTGGCAATTGACGCTAGATCACCATGGAAAACCTGGAAGCACTGATTGGCCGTTTCGTCACGTTGTGGAACTCATCAGTAGTGCGCATCGACGATCCCGTCCCCCAGGACCTGTCGATCTCGCGCGCAAACACTTAACTTCTGGACCACTGAACCGGCCGGCAACCAACTGTATTAATGTCTAACTTCAAGCAATCCACGAAATTAAGCCACCGTCCGCCACTGTCTTCAGTGAGTTACTATCACACAACAGATCCAGTTGAACTCCATTGGTCACGGCTTCTCACTAGAAGAGGCGCACTGATGAGGAGTACCATACTAGTGCGAAACGGCCGTCCAGTGCTTTCAGGTCTTCTATGGTGGTCTCTAGTTTCAATTGACTCATGAATTCAACTGTTAAATTACTATAATATCCACAAAATCGCTCTCTGATTATTCATCATTAACAATGGACTTTGTTAACGAATCTAATGAAAATGATACTAGAACATTCTTTACAACACGGCGATCAGCGATCAATAGACAAACAGGAATTTCACCATTATTGTTTCTTTAAGTAGATATCATTCCTTACAGGTATAAAATCAATAAAATATAGAAATATATACAACAAACCGAAAACTAATTTTAACAATTATGCATAAGATAAGCAGCAGTAGTAGTATTAGTAGTTATTATTTTATTAAAATAAAAAAATCTTTTAGAAACATAAAAAATTTCATAAAGGAACTAGAGTGAAGTATGTGAATACATTGAATATTAAAGGTCAAAGATACTGTACATAAAAGTAATTCAGCAGTACAAGACAAAAAAGTCATACTCATTTATACACACACAAATACATAAACATTGTGCCGATAAATACAAATCACAGAAAAAGTAATATTAGATACAGAAAACAGATAGAGCTAGTGAAAAGTAATAGTGTTCATAATAATAATGACTACAATAGAGTAATTCACTGAATTGGAGACTAAATTGTCTAAATCAAGTATCTGAGTCTGGATTTAATACATTCTCCAATGATGGAGTTAAAAAACCAGTTTTATCTAAACCATTTGGAAGATGTTCAGATAGTTTAATGCAAATATTTCGTTTTCCACGTGTCCAACTATTATTCCATTGACGACCTAAACGTGTTCTAAATAAAATATCAGGTAAATTTGATAATATTTCACGTAGATAAGCAACTGTTGCAAATATTCCACCGGCTAATGCAGCAAGACGAGTAAAAAATGTACCTAATAATTCACGATCATATGTTATTTTTACAACTAATGGAAAAGTATCATAAACAAAAAAGATTCCAGGTATTCCATGACTTCCGGCATCATGATCAATTGTTCTATTCTAAAATTAATATAAGAGAAGAATAGAACAATAATAAGTAATATGATGAAATTGAGTCTTCTTTTAAACTAACTAATTAAAATAATTATTAATATTGGAAACATTTTCAAAAGTATCTAGAATTCTAAGGTCAATACCACCACCACCACCGGTAACCTTAGAAATATTCTTTGTTTTGTATATATGAATTAACCTTGAAAATGAAAAAAAAGACAGAACCTTTTGTATTCCTAATTTATAACAAAAATAACAAATTCACTTGGTATTGTTTACTTGAATCTTCTTATCGATGTTTAGAATTGCAATTGATCAGTCTCTTATTGGCATATATACATCCTGTGCGTATTGCCTTAATTAACAAGCATTATAATCAAAGATGGATAGTGGCTGGCAGTGGAATCCAGTTTGACGCGCGTTCCGTCCTAAACATCAATGTGAAGATTCAAACAAACAATACAAAGTGAATTTAAACTTCACCCAATTGCACAAGCAAGTGGCTAACAGGACTTAGTAGCTAAGTGGATAACGCGATGGCGTTTGAAGCGAACGGTACTGGATACGAGTCCCAGAGTGACCATCAAATAGGACGAAAAGCGCGTCCTGGATTCTACTGCTAGCCACTATCCATCTTTGTATAAAAATAAAAAATGTTCAATATTTCAGTTAATAGAAAATTGGATTCCTGACTTATAGTATCTTAGTGTTAATCGTCTCATTGGATCTTCTACAAATATATATTCATTAGGGCGAGACTATAATTTACGGACGAATCAATCAGATTTGCGACAACAGGCCTTGAATTTTGGAGTAAAAGTAACTCATTTATTTAGGTAAATAAAGTTTTGACATTATAGCTGATGTCACTTCATGATGAAAATATTAAGTCTAATTCCTAGCTCTAACGTTCAACTGTATATCTTAATCCTAATTCTTTACGTATAAACCTCATTTAACCCCAGTAAGTAGGTGGGTATTCCAAGGTCACTTGAGAGTTGCTCAAAGGTCGTCCATAAATTATAGTCTCACAAAATATTCTTTTGGAAAGTATATAAACAATGAAAGTCATAGTAATGACTACAACTTAACAAATTACATTTTAATGTATAATTCAACTTGAAACTTATGAATGACTAGAATACCAAAATCATTTATTCCAACTAACAAACTATGAAATTATTCTACTAATTATAGATTAAGTTAAAACTGTGCATAATCCGTGGAAGGCCTTTTCATGATACGAACCTGAATAGCACTAAACTAAGACAAACATGAATAACTATTTAAATAATGGATCCAAATATTCACTAATTTTTTCAAATTATATGAAAGTTATTTCTTGTTGTTGATATGCAGGAATGAAGTTAATTAATCTGTTGTCATATGTAAATCATTAGTGGTTTACCTTGACACAACGTTTGGCCACAAGTTATTGTATATTTGGTATGTGGCTATCAGTGGAAACTAAGATAAGCGTTTCGTCTTATTTGACGAGTCTTAAGTAAGACAAAATATGAGTCTCAAATCCCACTACTAGCCACATACTGAATATATAATAACTTGAAATAAAGGACTATAAATGAGAGAATCGATTCAGGGTGTACATATAACAACAGACTGATTAATTGCGATCCCGGATATCATCAACGGGAAATTACTAATATGTATTGATCAATTTTGTTTTTCTCAATACCATAATTGATACTACTATCATTTCAACTCCTCTGTCATCTCTCCCATTAATTTCAATTCGTTGTGCTTAATAAGGCTTTTCAACTCATGACTTGATTATTATAAGTGTTGACAGCATGTTTCAATTCATTTGTTGAAATTATAATTGGTCTATTTAGCAAAATTACTATTTCGACATATTATATTTACCCATTGAATATATAATATTGATCGCGACTACTTAAAATCTTAACATCAATGCCAATTAACTCACCATCGTTTGATCTCGTTCGCCAAAGAGATGAATATCTCCTGGTCGAATTTCACTTCCCAACTGTAGCTGTCACCTTGACGTGATGATCAGGTTTGTCTATGATGGTGACACAATAGAGTCATATTGACTAGAATACACATCCTTCCATACCACAGAGTTCGATCGGAGAGTGTGAAATTAGAAACACTAAAGTCATAGTTCGAAAGCGAATTCATAGTGTTGGTTGTATTGGGGTGCGACAGAAGTAAAGTGATTATCCATCAGACAATCAGCATCTGGTTCCATAGTGTCTTATCACAACAGAATGAGGGGTTTAGGAAATGTGACGTCTAGAAATATCACATCTCGCCTAGTTGTCCCGTGATAAGTCTCAAGGCGGGGTGTTCTTTACGAAATTGAAAGGACGAAAAGCGAATGTCCGACAGGGGCTCTAACCGGGTTTGTGGACACGGATAGTCTACCTAGGGAAGCTGAAAAACCCTGATTCCGAACCAATGGTACACATAAACTGGCTTCAGGATTCTGAAGGAACAAATGGCGTAGGAACCAATTATTGGTCACCGTGGGACTGCATCTCCTGACACTGCTCCACTGCCTTGTGGATCAGACCTTTAGGTCGAAGGCTCGAGATGTGGCTCTCTAAGAAAACTACCTGATTCGATCTTGGTATCCGTTCAGTATGTATGTATGTATGTATTTGGTGGCTGGTTGTACCAAGGTTTATGTGTTTAAATAAATAAACTTTAAAAGTCCACACCTAACAAATCAACAGCTACTTTCAAAGGGTTTAGTGATCAGCCTCTAGCAGATGATGTCCCATGAACTCTGTGATCACACTCCAGGTTCGTCAAGACTACTATTATTACTAATTCAGTTTTTTCCATGTCCCAGAAAGAGAAGTATGGATTTAGGATATGGGCGGTTGAGAAGTGATAAATAGCCTGATATATCTAACAGTAGTCGAGGTCACTTTGTTTACATTACGTATTGGAAGTTTATGCGATAACTGTAGTCAACTGTTGGAGACCTTATCTAAAGAATTTGTGCAGGTGCGTTCGCTTTCTATTCTCTTTAAAATTCTGTTTTGACCTTCTTTCATAATAGGAGTTTTTTGATTTTGTTTTTCCACATTCTTTTGTCTTAGTTTTCTACTACTATTTCAAATTCTATTTACTTTACATTTTATTAGTAGTTTTCATGAGATGACTATGATATGAAGGTTTGAAAAGTTTTTCCGTTGAAAATTTACTTCCAGTACCCTGTTTTTAGTTAGTTGACTAATGGCAATAATAACATGTTAGTTGGCAGGATGGTGTACTATTTACTTTTTAAAAAATGTGGTGTTAATTTTCTCCATATGTAATGCTATAGCGTATAGGCTCATGAACGTTGCTTTAGGCTACATTAGCACTGTGAGAGCCAACACTATAACTGTTACTTATTTTACTTAAAAGGAGGTAGGTAAAGTGGGGTTCAAATCTGAAATGCATTGATTGGAAACGGATTCCTTCAACCATCAGACCAATACTACGTGATTGTTTCACAATTGATTGATCACTGGGTGGTGATCAATGTCATGTGTGTGAAATCCTTCTTAGTGCAGACCGAATGCTATCTACCAAGTTGCAATGTGGCCACTAGTCTAGGTGACTCGACATTGCATGCACTATGTTGAGATAAGATGGTGGTTGGAGGTAGTCATCAGGAAACCCTGGACCCCTGCTTCGTGATACTTGGCACTCGTCAGCAAGGTGTACCATCTTATCTCGAAATAGTGCACGCAATGTCGAGTCACCTAGACCACAATGCAACTTGGTCGATAGCATTCGATCTGCATTAAGGACTTGATACATATGACATTGATCACCACCAAGTGATCAATCAATTTTGATTACATCTCAGTCCTACAGGAGGTCGGTCGCGGCCCGAATAGCTCAGTGGTAACGTCTCTGACTGTGAAGTTGGGTGATACGGGGTCGAATCCGTCAGGGAGCACCAGTTCCTTCAAGATTACAGGTACATCTTGCTGACGAGTGCCAAGTAGCATGATGACCCGGGTTCAGGGTTTCCTGTTGACTACCTCCAACCACTATCTTACTACGTGATTCTCTCAACCAGCCGATACGAAATCTTTAACTATGAATGACTAACCTTGGAATCTATCGATTAGTTTGTAATTGTTTATATAATCACTTAAGTAGCTCTGAGCCCCCTGTTTTTTTAATTCAAAATTATAATTCCTAAAATGATACACTTAACTGTATACATATCTTGTCTATTGTAGTGTCAGTTATTATGTTAAGCCTATATACCTTATTCTGGCTTTCGGACATCCCATTCTATTCATTCAATTTGAGTCATATTTTGACCTTGTCAATTACTCGCTTATCAGTCTTGACTGTTTTTATATGAGCGTATATGTGTGTACACTTCTTATCCCATGTCTCATTACATGTCTGTAGCTTACTTTTGTCTGCCTATAAATATTAATTAACGCCTGACTAAAAATGAGTTGGCTTATCAGCCCATCTCCACTTTGCGTCGCTTCTCTTCCTTCTATTCCATTCACCTCATATACAAAATATATGCATTCAAAATCCCATTCTCGTTATTTGACTTATTTAATCCCGTTATTGACTAACGTGATTAAAGTCGACGATGATATACGAGAATAGGCGATAGCAAACATCCATACGATCTAAATAGGAGTTAGATCCAGGGGCCACTAAACTATAATTAAACAGTAACTTGTATAAATCACCTGAACTTTAAATTACTTGACTTTATGTTCGAAATCCAGGTCAATTTACTGTTGTTTGAACATGATTAGGTGGTGTTATAATTAACTCTAAATGTTGAGTGCAATGATTTATACCTTGATAAGTGAGTTAGTTAAATGTGTTTTTTTAAACATTTTTCAAAGACTACACTCTTAAATTGGGACGACAACAAAATAACTACTGTATGTGAGCAAAAAAACTAACAATAACTACACGTTGTTTGATAACAATATCTAGAAAATAATGCACGTTAATTATTGTATTTTCATATAGTACTGTAATCTAATTCAATGAACAGGTACAAGTTTGTGGTACGATCAGACACGGTGGGTGTTATAATTCTCTCTTATAACCCAGCTAATCCTATTGCTTAGTACTCTTGGACACCAATTCACTCGACAAGTCAGCTAACACATGGTGAGACTATAATTTATGGACGACCTTTGAGCAACGCTAAGATGACCTTGGAAATATCCACCTACCAACTAGGACTAAATGAGGGTTATAAACCAGTATGAGGAATTGTAATTATGATTTACAGTTGTTTAGGGTTTTCATTACGAACTGACATCAGCTACAATGCTGAAATAGTATTTAACCAAATGAGTGAATGGATTTCGCGCTAAAATCCAAGACCTCTTATCTTAAATCTGATTGACTCGTCCATAAATCATAGTCTCGCCTCAGACACTTCTCAAACTGAAGTAGGCATAATGGAGTTCTAATCTACAACCCTAAAATCCAACATTTTCGTGCAATAAATATATTGGGTAAATTTTTAGCATAATTATCAATGAAAACATTCATAACTAATATTAAACGATTTAAGCTTTAAGAAAATATTAATAATCACCTGTAAAGTTGCTGCATACTGATAAGTTTCTGTAATATGAAAATGATTAACTACTTTGGTAGGGACCATTGTGACAAAATATTGAAATGATGTAAAGGCTACATTTGAAGAAACAAATAACGTAAAAAAGGTTACAATGGATATATTTGTGTTTTTGTTTTGGTAAAAAAAGTTACATTTTGGGTGTAATTAAATAATGTGAGTATGTGTGCGAGTGCGGTGTATACGAGAGAGAAACCAAGATAGCATGAAGTATATATATACGGATAGCAAGTAACATTAGCAACACCATTTTAACACAAATGGAAGCGAGGTGAGGACCGTTAAATGAGTAATCCTGAGGTTGTGAATGGGATCTTCAGTAAAACAATTACAAGAATGATGATCGTGTAAACTTTGATCGACTAAAATAATTGATATACATGTTGCACATGACGATCAATGTAAACAGTCACAATAGCAGATTGAAAATGCGCTTAAAAAACGACCAGAAAATCATATCATATCAGTACAGGAAGTGTATGTGAGACAAGTTGAAATCAACTAAAGTAATTGTTATATCCCGATGGGAATAATGAATGGTAACTTTTGGAATCCATTTATGGACCAATACTATGCGCATATTTTTATCGTATAATTGTTAAATAACTAAACTATTCATATTCATGTCCTCTCTTATTATGAGTCTTATTTTCATCTATGAACTATTATTATACAATTTACCATTATTGAGTTATACCCAGTCTATCTCCCACATTCACAGCCACTTTTGGTTAAATCTTGTACAAACATTGTTTCCCACTTTATGGTACGATGTGGTCTGTCTGGTTGATATATAAACCCAGTATGTTTGAAATAAATGATTCATATCGCAGAGGCTGAGATTAGTGTTCTGGACTTAACAGGCAGGGTGAAGCAGGACCGATAAGTACTCTAGATTGCTCGTACTTGTTTTATACATCATTGGTTCGGTCGATAAATCACTGTTCTCTAACTGGCGATATCATTATATTACATTGATAGGGGCACAAACCCATAGGTTATAACAGTGATTAAGTTACATTCATTATCCCCCCCTGGATTTTGAACACAAAATGATCAAATAAGCTTTGTTTATCGATATCATTTGTTTTTTTCTAACTATACATAAATTTATTTAGCTTTGAATTTCAGTTGACCTTATTGATAAGAAGGTTAATGTGGTATGGCAACTCGAACTGATGTACGTACGTACGAAGCTCTACGTTGTTGACTGACTAATTGGTAAGAAGAGACTAAAACAGTAAGATCATTAATGCATTCAATATAATAATCGTTCAGTTTAAAATTCATTTGTCAATAATTTCAATATGTTATTGCACTGTATTCTGACAATTTCCGTTATGTATTTATTCAGTATGAAATTTGTTTTTAGGTTGTAGTTAGCTAAATATAATCAAGAATCACTGAAAAGGAAATTCGGGTATAAAGTGTGGGACTTTTTCCCCCCACAAAATATATCCTTTACAGTTGTACATTAGAATTGTTTTAACGGTTGGGGAAGAATTAAAATTTTGAGGGCATAGTGTGGGAGTAACTATATTATTTTTACTAAATACAGTCATCCTGGAGTCGACATTTTTGAATTGTGTAGGGAAGGACAGGTTATAACACAGGTAAACGGAGATGGGATTTACAAGTTTTGACTTGAGTGATTTAGCTCAAGTTATAATAAATTCTCTTGTGATCAAAAGAAACTCACCAACATCAGTAACAGATTCAACAGCTTCTAACGGATGTATTTGTCCATTAACTAGATCACCAAAAGAAAAATGATTTATTCGATGACTGAAATTTTGAACTAAAATCAAAAAAGAGAAAAGGTAAGAGGTGGAAAATTAATCACTTTCAATAGAATAGTTTTTTAATTACACAATCATATTTATGAAAAATACTTTTTGAAAGTGTAAGGAGTTTGTGGAGATTGTTGAGTTTTATGGTTCACATCAGTGACTTACCTTGTGCTCAGTCGTGAGTAATTTCGATAGGCGATTCTCAAAGTTCTAGCGAGAACCCGTAAAAAGTAAAGTTTAACCATGTCACGTTGGAGGACTTTTACCTACAAATACCATTGGATGGTCAAACAATATTGTGAACTGATTTAATTTAGACATATAAACTATTGAATAGCAAGCCAATGATCTAGGGGTCTAGAGCTTGTCGCGAGACCTGAAGGTCTAGCTAGAGTCTGGTCACCCATAAGGTTGTGCATGCGTGCTGTTGAGGAGTCCCACATAAAAACGAAACTGTTTAATGTCTCCTGACTCTCAGTAGTTGTCCAACGGAGGTAATTCCGTGGTGTAAAGCAGTGTTTTAGAAATATCCCGTACTTTAAACTGAATGGTTAACTTGTGAAACTCCATTATCTTCCTAAATACCAAAACTATCGATGCACAACCCAAAAACAAGCGAGTAATATGTGGATAATTACTGGGCAATATGATTGTGAGATAAAGTTGATCAACTAAAAAAATTTGGTATCAGTCACTCGTGAATAAATTCTGATACCTTACTTCTTTATGAAGTAAACCCCAATGTTATTCGTCTGTCAACCGAATGGAGAGAATGCTGCACAACAATCCTCGCTGTATCACTCCCCATGGTTGTGCAAGATGGTCCATGGAAGTACGAGGGGTGAGAAGACTGAAGGTTTTTAATTATAGAGATGTCTTTGTGAAGCAACTGAGTGAGTAATAGTCAGGTTAGATGTAAGGAAATAACTAAAGATGGTGGACTTGATTAACGAGGTTGAGAAGCTTTATCGATAGAAATGGCTGAGACATGTATTACGCATGTTCAACAATCATACACATCGACGGGCGGTATTCGCTTGTGTACAATCGGGGTGGAGGTAAGCTAAGAGCAGCCAAACGTGAGATTAGTTCATGAATTCATTGATTGTTGGCCTTAGCCATGATAATCGATCTAGACTATCTAGTTGGAGTTTGAGAGATAACTGTAATCACTGAACATAAAGGTTGGGTGACATGGCTCATAAGCGGTAACACTGGCACAGATCCAGTTGCTTTCTATCTTTCTCTAGATCTCGAGTTCCAGTACTCCTTTATGCGTACCTTTTCGTTCTACTCTTTTGAACTACATTTTCAAAATTGTATTTTTTATTATTAATAATACAACAATTGTTTCGACTCCTTTGCTATTCATTTTGCCGCGCTTATGTGGTATGAGAATTTGAGCTGACGTACATTGATGTCAGGCTTTACACTGATTATGATTGATTGATTATGTTATCTTAGAAAGACAATGAAAACCTCACGATTTAAGAATCCAACTTGGAAATTAGAACACTTTCGAAATTTTTCTGCCAAACTACAAATGTTTTTTTATCGTTGCGGGATAACATAAGAGTGTAACTTTCATACTATGAATTTTGTTATCGGAAAGTATGCTATCACTGGATCCATCGGTTACTGACTGAAACACTGCATTAAATTCGATCCAACATACAAATAACTTCAGTTGACCTACTTCAAAGTAATAGGCTGAACAGAGCTTAACAAGTGGACTACTACATTTAATATAAGTTAGCAGACAATAAAAAAATAAAACGAAAAAAATATTTAACGTAGGATAAAATAGTATGTGATGGATAGGTCCTCTAATTGTTCAATCTACGAATGGTAAAGTCGATTGTTAAGTTTTGAAGGAAATTTTATTTTGAAAAATGACTTGAGTAACGAACTGACATACTAAACTGAACAACTACTTAAAGCTAGAAAGAACTAGGCAGTTGTTTTGCTCCGCTTAAAGTAGCTTTACCAGTCTATACCCACTACACCAAACAGAGCCAAAATTTAGATTTCTGAGTCTTTCAGCGGGTACGATACTTTACATTAATTAGAGTAAATTCAAATATATGTGTTTGTCCAAAAACAAATCACTGGTTTTCGGATTTAATGATTTAAAGTTTCTGAACTTGCTACACGGCTTGAAGCCCCTAGGCTTTGATCACGTAAGGAATGACACAAAACGTCTGCATTATTAATCATATATGGAGGTAAATACTGAGTGTTACTGGTTAGCGTTTTTGTGCTTGTTTGGACAGCATCAATGCAACTCCTTGTGTCTGTGGGGCATTTTCTTCTTCATGGCCGGAGTATAACAACAGCTCCCCTGAGACTAGTCGTTGTTGTCCAACTTGCGTCCAATGTGTTTCACTGATCCCAAGAACCTCTAGGCTGTATCTCCTCATTTCTGCAGCAAGTTGGAAGACCCTCTCAGTCTCCCATATTGTACGAGCATTCCATGTACCTAAATAAATGGTTGTTCTGGTTGTCAGAAGGGGCATCGGCCTCATGACTTCCGAAGGAACTCGGCTTTCATCATGAGGCGTCACAACTCTTCTAAATGAAGACCTTCTGACTCCCAGGGCAAAGTTTAAATGGTTTGAATAACTTTTTCTAGTTAGCGTTTTTTTAGCGAGTTAGTTTTCTATGGGATGGGGTTGCTAACCCCATGCCCAGCAGCCCCCGGAGGGACTCCAGGAGGAGTTTATGTTAATCGAACACTATTAGTAACTGTAGTGATATCTTGATGAAATCAAAGTTAGTACAGAATAAAGAGTGGCGTTTTAAAATGGATATCTCCACTGTCATCAAGAAACTTGTGCGACCACTACAAAAGGTGACTTACTGGAATCTGAGCTGAATAAAATATAATGGACATTAATGAGCTTAAAAGCATAGAGAAGCAGTCATTCTGAGTTTCCTGATTTTTAGTAGTAACTGGACTGAACGTGGAAATAGGGACCATTGATGAAAACATCTCCATGATTTGTTTATAACAACGGGATAGTTTTGTGTACGAAAGGTATTTTAAGTGCTTGAAAACCTTGAAATATTGATCAAACAAATGACTTATTTAGAAAGTACATGCCCTTTATGGGGTCCACTTGAAGCCACACACTTTATGTAGAAGCTAGTTATAATATCTGGCTGGTGTGACCGGAGTAGGGAAAAGGTGTTCAAACATATGACCAAAGACTAGAAATTTTTTGTTTAAACAACTTGATATTCAATAATGGTACATAAAAACAGGTGCCTTTTAAAAAAGCTCTTAATAACGTCCCCTTGCAATTTAAAAGACTCACCCGATTGGCCTGAAAATGGTACAACATGTAGATGAAAATTACCGAACCCGTTCAGAGGTCTGTAAACGAATCATGAAGGAAAGGGAAAGATGTGGAAACAAAATAAAGTGAGTAATAAGTTAACGACCAATACAAGTAATGGAACCCTTTGGTCAATCACCTATAAACAACATAAAACTTGAAACAAATATGCAGAGACGTAAGTTACCACAGTATAACCATAGATCAAACTAACACGATGCACAATAGAAAGTATAAAATCATGGTAATATGAGTCTGAATACAAACAACACGGTTTGGAGAGAAAGAATAAAACCGATAAACCAAAAGTATGAAGTATTTAAACACAAGATTTAGAAGATGACCAAGGAAGGCATCTGTGCCAATAATTTGGAACATTTTACCAAACTTCTTAGACCACTGGGCACAATTGCAGCGAGGACCCCAACTAAGAAGTCAACACCACACTATATAGTTCAAGTCAACAGTCAAGGACTCATAAGGATGATGTCACATCTTGACTTGGTCGTTGCGAGGCTCTTTCTAACCTACTCCTACATCATTTAGCATTCTATGTAGGGGGTAGGAGGTGGCTTGATATATGCACAAAGTCAAAGTGTGTACAAATAAATTTGTTTCGCATTTCCTTGAGAATATACAATACATTTCTTTATTATTTTTTTACTCCATATATATACCATATACTTATTTCAGAAATTTCAATTCTAGATAAAAGAAATTTTCAAGATTATTTCAATTTTGTAGGATATTCAACACGAATCGGTTGTAGTTCGAGATAATCAAAAACTAGGAATAACAACGTTGTTTCATCCTACTAAGAAGAAAACTACTATCCAGAATAAAAGTCTTCACATCACTAGTGAATTACTTAAAGACGAGCTAATGAAGCGTTAGTGGGAGGTCATGACCAGTGGAGTTCATAAATCTCCAGAATAAAATATTTGTCACCAATGCTATCTGATTATTGTCGTGGTATATTACCCATTAGTTGAAGTTGTAAATGAGTGCCACCCGACCCCAACCAAGAGGACTTAATGATTAATCATCTGCCGCGAGACCTAAAGGTATTTGTTTCGATCCCTGATGGACTAAAGGGTGTGAGATGCTAAAGCTTTCTATTTTTGCTAACGTTCTTGCAAAGTACATATTTTGTGTATTTTAACTCATTCAAAATAAAAGGACTTTTAAAGACTATGTTAACTTTCTAGGATATTTTTTTAATCATGTCTCCCTACAGTTTATTTAGTATAAATTAAGTGATCAATTACAGATTTATGTACTCAGCTTAGAGCTATAATGTTTATATAGAAACCTGGGGTACTACCTGGTTATACAAATGATGATAGGCAGGTCAGTCAGTTAACAGTAAAAGAGGACTTAGAACAGACCATAACGGTCTAAAGTCAATGACAAAACTGACAAGAGCAATACTGTCAACCGAGGTGAAAGTAAATAGTATAGTTCAAAAGAAAGTGAACACGATCGCCAAATGAAGGATGTAAAAAATAATGCCAAAAATCTACAAAAAAATAACAAACGAACGGACCTAAGGTTTAGAGTAATGTTGTATGAGAACTCTATACACATAATAGAACGTCGCACGAACCGTAGCAAAAAATATACGCTTCAAGACATGGTGAATTGCAAGATTTAATGATTTTACTAATCATTGAGTTAGGCGGTTTGTGGAAGTCAATTAAATGATTCCAGCTAGAGCACTATTATTGGCAACTAACAAGCAAAGGACAATTGTTTTGTCTTAACCCTGAATCCCACACTAGCGGTTATGTCCTTGTTCGGGCGTTCTTTGGATCCAATAATTGGAAGTCTGACGCCTCAAACAATCCACTCAAACTACCTACCGATATATTAAACTGTTCCGACAAATTCAAACTTATTTCAATAATTTGGAAGATGAGTACAAGTACACTCTTTCTCTAATTTTGACGAAGTACATGCGTAAAGATGACTAATACCATAACTCAGTTCCATAATAGAATTTAACATGTCGCACTAGCAAGTTTGGTGGTGCTTTTAGTGAAGTGAGAACTAACCAATTCAAATTATGTTCAAAAACTTATAACAAAACAATGTTCCAAGACGATGAAACAAACGATACATCCAGTATCATCCAAATGAACCCAATGATATATCTTTGGCACAAGGAAAAAGGGACATACATGAGACAAATTTGGATTTCTGAATAAAGGTGATATAATTTATCAAATTTCCTTTGTTAGACATATGCTTTTAAACCCCTTAACATATAGAACAATTATTAACGAGTCAACTGGGAACCCACGGTTTTTCCGGCCGAACAAATCACTATTGTTACATCTGAATGTCTGAATATAAGTGATACAAACAACAAGCGGGTTGTTAAGAAAAGGTACCTAGTGAATAGTATAGAAATTGTGGATCTGATAATCTAAGATATTTCTAAATAACTTATATGGTCGAATATTTTATTGTACAATGATTGATATGTCAGTACATACGACACACCTGGCCCAGATGACTTACCTCTGGCTCTTTTTAAGATGGTGGTGACTTCCTGACTAAGGAACTGACTGTGTTGTTTACAAAGGTCTGGGAGTTAGAGAGTGTACCAACGTCATGGAATGAGTCGATAGTTGTCCCTATCTTTAAAAAGGGTTCACGTCGTTCCTGCAACAACTATCGGGGGATAAGTGTACTTCCGATTGCGTCCAAGCTATTGGCTTCCGTCATACTTCGTAGGTTGTTCAAAACCCGAGAAAGATTGACTCGCGAGGAGCAGGCTGGGTTTCGTTCTGGTCGAGGATGTATTGATCATATCTTCACCCTCCGCCAAATGTTAGAACATCGCCATACTTATCAAAGGCCAACAATCGTAGTGTTTCTTGACATCAGGGCTGCCTTCGATTCGTTGGACAGGACTGTTCTCTGGGATTGTCTATTGAAGAAGGGTGTGCCTGAGAAGTTTATTAACATCCTGAAAGCCCTATATAAAAACACCTCAGGCAGAGTGAGGGCATACAACCACCTCTCTCCATTGTTCTATTCGAGTAGTGGAGTTAGGCAGGGTTGCCCAATCTCACCATTCCTCTTCAACTTTGCCATCGATGACATTCTGGAAACAGCTCTGATGAATGTAAGTAATGGTGGTGTGGATCTGTTGCCTGGAGAAAGACTTCTCGACCTTGAGTATGCGGACGATATTGTCTTACTGTGCGATAATGCCCAAGGTATGCAATCCGCACTTAATCAGTTAGCAATCAGTTTCCGTAGGTATGGTATGTGCTTTGCACCTTCGAAGTGCAAAGTACTTCTACAAGACTGGCAGGATTCCAATCCTGTACTCACCCTGGATGGTGAGCAGATAGACGTAGTCGAGAAGTTCGTGTATCTGGGTAGCTGCGTAAGTGCTGGTGGTGGCGTGAGTGATGAGATCAATGGACGTATAGTGAAAGCCAGAGTGGCTTATGCCAATCTGGACCACCTTTGGCGCCTTCGTGATGTTAGTCTGGCTGTAAAAGGTCGGATCTACAACGCGTCGGTGAGAGCAGTTTTGCTTTATGCTTGTGAAACCTGGCCTCTCCGAGTTGAGGACGTTAGACGACTCTCTGTGTTCGATCATCGCTGTCTCCGAAGGATTGCTGACATTCAGTGGCAACACCATGTCAGTAATGCAGAGGTTCGGCATCGTGTGTTTGGGCACAGAGATGATAATTCAATTGGTGTCACCATCTTGAAACACCGACTTCGGTGGCTTGGACATGTTCTACGAATGTTATCCCAGAGAATTCCACGTCGTGCATTATTTGCCGACGCTGGGACTGGTTGGAAAAAGCGGAGAGGTGGTCAGTGTATGACATGGTGTCGTGGTATGAAAGAAAGCTGCAAAGGACTGGCTTGTGTCGGTCCTTCACGACTCGCTGGTTGGGGTCTGAGAGATGGTGCTACACAGGCGGCTAGAGACGTCATCAGATATGGCTCAGAATAGGAGCCAGTGGTGATCCTGCTGTAACCTTCTTTTACTTTCTTCATAAAAAATGGTTGTGTCTCCCAAACTTGAAAGATTTCTTCTGATTGTACCTTTCCGTTCCATCGTTACGACCACACTACTTTACACCAATCTCTTCGTTATTGTTCTCTTTTTCTCTTGTGCTCCTTAGTTTTTTTTTCTATCTCTCTTCGAATTTTCATTGTTTTGTGTGGCGCATATATATTGGCGCTCTCTTGTACCAATATTTATGTGTTCAAATAAATAAATAAAACATACGACACAGATGAAAACGTTAATGTCTTCAAGTAGTAAAGGAATAGTAACTTACTTCCCAAATAGTATATGTATGTTTCCTCCAACTTTTTTAACGAACAAAGTACCAACGATTCGACAAGCATCAGAATCTCGGTCATCAGAAACCTTTTTATCAACCACAGGGACTTCAAAGTCTGTGAAAACACTTGTCTCAGAGGCATATTTCCACAACCAATGTTGTATAGTATGATGTTTTGCACGGAGAGCCCCAGCTATATATTGTCGATACTGTTGAAATATAAGAAGAAACCATCACAGAATAACGACCAAGCATTGGAAGCATCAAACATATCCGGAAAGCCTACACGACTAAAAACTAGACCTTGTGAACGTTGGGAAACAATTTAATAAAGAACAATAGCATGATGAAAGAAGTTTAGTGTTGTCCTTGACTTTCAGCTCAAGTTCTTGACGAGATTTCCGTGGAGCACAACTTAAAAAAACTTTGAAGTTCGTTTGGCCGAAATTATACATGTATTATTGAAAATCAAACATATAATAATTTGGCGAGACTCTAATTTAGGGACGACCTTTGCACGAATCTTAAATGACCTTGACAACTATTAGCCTATCAGAAGACAGTTAGTATAAAGTGAAAATATATTATAAGAAAGTAATGAATTACAGTGGATATTCTTCTTTTACATGATTTAAAAACTTGTTAAGGTTTGATAAAGATTCAGAGGTTCTGAATTCATAGTGCATACGGTATAGAGACTCGTCCATAGGGTTAGGGTGGCGAGATTCTAATTTAGAGACGAGCCAATCTGAAGCGTTTGAGTAATTTCAAGTTCACGGAGCCAAGTTCAGCACGTGATGCTAACACACGATCGGTTTACAACGGATTTTAGAGGTGTTTATTGAGATGCTACACTCTAATCCTAGGCTGCAACCCTAACCCTATGGACGAGTTTCTATACCGTATGCACTATGAATTCAGAACCTCTGAACCTTTCTCAAACCTTAACAAGTTTTTAAATCGTGTAAAAGAAGAATATCCACTGTAATTCATTACTTTCTTATAATATATTTTTACTTTATACTGTCTTCTGATAGGCTAATAGTTGTCAAGGCCATTTAAGATTCGTGCAAAGGTTGTCCCTAAATTAGAGTCTCGCCAATAATTTTTCTAGGAATTCATTGTCTAGCAACGTTGACGACGAATATAAAAATTACCGAACACTACCGAAAGGATAATGAAACTAGTTTGGTGAAGAACTCTGCGTAACATGCTTTCAAAACCGAGTTAATTATATAACTTAACAGTATGACAAATTTTCCGACGCACGTACGAAGGTAATATAATGTTTACCATATCGATAGGTGAACTATGAGTTCGTTTCTTTAGATAAGAAACTCAGGAAACCCTTCTTATGCAACTTCCGTTCCAGAAATAATAGTACTAACAGTATCATGAAGGGAGAATTATGGTACTTGGAAAAAGACAAAACCATGAAAATTACGGTTCAGGATACATACTTTGAACGCGGCTCGAGCTGATGGGCTAAGTTCAAAAGATGTTGGTAAGTACTGAATATTCTCTTCATCAGACAGAGAGGACCCAGAAGTATCCACCACATCCATTGAAACAGCTAAGATGTCATGTAGATGTTAGAAACTTACCATGGCATGGTGAGGCAACAACAATGTCAACATTGACTTTTATTTTTCTAGAACAAGATCTGGAGAAGAAAAATCTTACCCAGAGGTAGATTTGTCTAATTCGTAAGAATAATTGACGGGGGGATCAAGATAACTTCGACATTCCATTATAAGCAACCAAGATATGCAACAAAATGTTAGAATAGTAGCTGAAGACTTGAAATTTTTAACCGTATATAATTACCTAGACCACCACTCCATGTTGACTTTTTGCATTCTCGTGGAAGTTTTGGGAAGACATCCAGCTCATTTACTATTTGTGAGACACTAGGCCCCGGACCTTTGTTGGTGGTATGCACATTTCTCCTTCTGACCTCCATAAATTCAAGATTTCTTATGCCTCGACCAAGGTGAGAGAATACGCAATAGGATAGTTAAACAAGACCAAGCTCTCAATTGATTGATAGTAGTTTCGCAAGATTATCTATATCATATATGTATTCTGAAACGTTCTCAAGAACATCACTTGTTAGAAATTCAGCAGTGAGAATGGAAGATCACAGTATCTACAATTACTGAGATAAATTACATTAGTGACGAGCAACAGCATTTTCTTTAGTTTTTCACGAAACATATTTGTGAGATAATTTTATCGACTTATATTTCATTTTTAAGTGATTGTATGCTTATTATGAATTACAAATGTAATACATTCTGTTCAAATGGTTCCACCCAATCTCCCGATTTTAAGGAAAATGTAATAAGTTTATGCGAAATACTGGGGTAGAAAGGGTAGCAACATTTCGGGCAACCTAAAAAAGCTACAACAATCCACGGACTTTGAAGTAAAATACCAAGTGAAATTGAGTAAAACCAAAAAGTTCTCAGAATTTCACGAAAATGGGAAAATTCGGTTCCTCACTTGATGGCAATATTTTTAGAATTCTTAGTTATTAAATCCATTCAAACACGTCCAGTTATCGTACCAGCTTCGCGATGGAACCTGTAACTGGACAGCTAGATATTCATTCAAGTTCTGAAGCTTTCCAGGATCATATGGAAAGGTTTGAAATTTGGAGTATGACATGGAAAGGGGTTGAAGATGATAAAATTGTGGCTAATTTCCTCATATCCATCTGAAACGATGCCTACAGATTGCTGAACACTTTAACATTTTCAGGTAAGCCTATTTTGCTTGCCTATACAACTTTGAAACAACCACTACCAAATCATGTAAACTTCAGATGTCATGAAAGAGTGAAATCTCACAGAATGGTTCATCAGAAGAAGCAGAATGTTACAGAATTCATCTTCGGATTGCTTAAACAAGCCATCAAGTGTGATCTCCATTACCAACCACATGTTCAGCTGTGTAACTGATTGTTGTGAAAATTAACATACCAAATCTTGAAAGAGAGCTCATACAAATCCCGAAATGTTTCTTCCAAGATGTTCGAAGTGCGTGTATTAATTGTGAAGCAGTGCATAGGATTGACTTCCAGGACGTCAAGAATTCTGCTACGCTAATTAGTTACTCCAAGCTGATGTTTACTCAAGGTCGAGAGCGTAGGCATTTAATTAGTGATAATCCTCGTTCTCATGAAAACATGAATGACAATTCATTGAGGATTTGGGAAGCGGTTCATAGAGGTGAGCATAAGTTCCGTAAATGCTTATCTTGAGGTAAATTTCACTCACGTAACTCATGTGTCTCCTATCACGTTAAATGCTTTGAGTATGGTAAAATGGGACACACCCAGTCGGTTTGTCAAACTAATGTTCGTTTAACCGCAAGTAATGCTGAACTTTGCAATTCCAATCCCAATAATTTATGTGATTTGTATATTTTGTTATCCCTTGTTATATTATCCTTGTATACAACTCCCAGTAATTCACTTCATATTCACGAACGATTTTATTTGTCCAGTGGTGCTTTTCACGATTTCATTGTTGACACTGGTATTATCAAACCCATAATTTCAGTTGGAAAGTTGAAGTCATTAAATTCCGATAATTTAGTTAAATCTATAAGAATTTCCATTTCGAGTATTATTTGTCATTAACTTCCTATTTTTACGTGTTGTAATTTGCTGACTAGAGACGACAAATCTGCAAGTACAACTTGTGAATTCCTCATCACGGGTCACGGACCATCTATCCTGGGTCTGGAATGACTAGGGATGCTTCAAGGACAGCTTTCCTTGTTGACAACCTAAGTCGGTCATAAAGAAATTCCTGACAAATTGTTGACTATGGAATGGGATTGCAAAGAATTACACGGAACTTGAAATCTTTCTCCTTCCAGTGCACAAGAGGCATCACGACCTTGAAAGTAAACATTAGTTCCATGACCGCTGCAAAATTTATAGACTCGGAGATGACGTGAGGTAAAGTCTTTATGCGCAGAATTGCCAGACCGTACGAAAAAAGGAAAAATGATAAAGCCTTTCAGTGTAGACGTTTCTGACCGTATGCCGAATAAACAATAATGAAAGGTTGTAGTGACCTAATTTTACCAAGAGAACGCGATTGGTTTAATGGAAACAATTATTATTATAACCAATTGTATCAGAGATTGTTTTACTGTACTCGTTTGTTTAACTGTACTAAAGACATCCATTATTATTCTTTCATTCTTCCTTGCGTTGATTTTGACCTTGTACCCTCTTACGTTCGGCCACTGATTCTTTGGCACGATCTAAGTATTCGTTCGATACCACGAGATCGCCAACGAATATAACTCGTTGAAACCTGCCACCGCCTTCTGGTACTCGATATCTTTGTAGTGTTTTTCATAGTCAAACGCAACTCGATGCCACACTATAAGGTGTTTGCAGCCCGCGAAGCTAAATATTATCATGGGAATTATCTTTCACCAGCCACAGGGATTGTGCTGAAGGATGTTGGAAAATCTGTGGTTCGAATTCTTGATATCAATGATTTAAGTGCATACAGCCGACATGTCGATCAAATACAATTCCAGAAACTAAGTGAGTCTATTCTAATTTCGGTTGTTAATTCTAACACTAAGGAGTACATTTTAGCCAATACAGAATCTTTATCCATTACATAGTCTGACAGATATCATGAACCAAAGGAAATGTTCAATTGTTTACTGAGACTTGGATTCCAATTTGGACTGTGGCGGATGTGGAGTTTGTATGAACTAATGAGTGTATTTTACTTAATTCCAGGTTGAGTTGTAGTGGCACTGGACCCTACTTACACGACCATTGAAGCCTGGTATATAATTACTGAGAAGATTTATATTTAACAACTGACACGAAGGGAAGGTCAACAACAATGAACGCGGGAACATATTGAATCCAACCAATCGGATGGCGTGGCTTAGCCTCGCAGACTGTATATCTTGTATTTATTCACATTAAATGTATAATCCTATATTCAGCCTAAGCGTGTTCTTCAGAAGTACTGCGTATCAAATTGTCAGTGTAGACAATCATTTGGCTTTCACGTAAGATCAAAAACTTGATAATCTCCACAACCCCTATACTGACATGTCTTTTTTATTAAAATATGCAATAGTTATATTCACCAAACATATGCTAGGCAGATTCGAAACCGAAACATCGACTGAGTGCATTGACAAGAGCATGGATAGCCAGACCGGCCTTCGCCAAAGTTGAGTGAAGTCGACGGAATGTTCTGAGGCGTGGGCCCAGGATACAAAAAAAAATTAAAAGAAAAGCGAAAAAATGTTGCAGGCATGTTGTGTAGGAATAGTCTTACACCGTATCCGTTGCTGACTGTGCGGTTAGTCGCGAAAGTGTATGGGTAAGCGTATACAGTGACTAGAAAGTGAGACGGTAGTCTCGTTCGTATTTCGTGAGCCTGCAATCTCATCCGAAGTCAAGGGTGGCGTGGTCTGCTGATCTGGACGTGAGACTAAAGTCTTTTCTGTAGATGGTGCAGATAACACGTGTTGTTTAGCGGGACGCAAGAATGAGGTCTCTGCTGTATCTAGCGTGGGACCTGAAGTAGATGTTAGGATCCCGCTAGTATATTTGATAGGTCTAGCATCGGGTCTCAAGTCCTCGACGTGTGCTGGTTTGAGACGATCAATGCTGACGATCTCGACGCGACCATGTCGATCAACTTTGAAGGACTTTTCATGTTGAGCGATCACGTAAAAAGGGCCTCCGTAAGGCTGTTGTAACGGTTTGCCTACCGAAACTACTCGTATTTAAACATCTGAACAGGTAGATAACTCTCGAGGGAGCGCCACCTGTCGATGTTGTATACGAGTTGACACCGGAGTCAGTGTTCGCAAAAATGCAGACAGTCGATGGATGTAGTCTGATTTACCGAAATTAAGTCTGCTCCGTGGTGTGAAGAATTCTTCAGGCAGATGCAATGTCGTACCGTATGCAAGTTCAGCGGCGGAACATTGGATATCTGCCTTTAAGCTAGTTCTGATACCTAAGAGGATGAGCGGTAAGGTTTCGTACCAGTTTTCGTTTTCGTGTGCTCTCAGAACCGTTCAACTAAACCATTTGAAGCTGGGTGGTAGGTGGTAGTGCGTATGCGTTCCGTACCAAGTGTTTGCACTCTCGTGGTGAGTAGCGGTCAGACGTAGTATGCAGAGCATACGTTAAAGTCTTGTGGTCAGTGAATAAGATGAAATGGCGTCCTTCTACTGCGTGCCGGAAATGTTTGATGGCTCAGTAGGCTACTAGCAGCTCTTGACCAAGAGCGTTATATCTCGTCTGGGTGGGAGTAAGGCGCCGTGAGAAAAATTCAAGAGGTTGCCAACTTCCGGAGATGTTTTGTTGCATAACGGCTCCTATGGCAAAATTCGATGCATCAACCGCTATACTAAGCGTGGCTGATGGGTCTGGATGAGTGAGGAGTGTAACTTAAGCCTAGGCCGTTTTGATCTCTGAAAATGCAGTACATGCGGCATCGTTTAATTCTAATTTGCGTAGATTACCGCGGAGTAAGTCGGTTAATGGTCGTAACCGTTCTGCCGCGTGTGGGATGAAACGTTGGTAGAAGTTAACCAAACCGAGAAATGCCCTTAGTTCCTTGAGTGAGGACGGCACTTTGTATTCTCTTACTGCACGTACTTTATCCTCACAAGGTAAAATACCCTCTTGCTTGATGATGTGACCCAGAAACATTATTTCCGATTTGCCCAATTCACACTTGTCTGGGTTGACTACTGTTCCATTATCCGAGAGACGTTGGAATAAGAGTTTAAGGTGTTGATAATTTTCATCTAAGTTTGATGATGCGATTAGCAAGTCATCAATATAGACGTACTACGCTATCGATAAACCTTTGGAAAGTTTGAGCAGCATTCCGTAATCCAAATGGCATTCGTAGGAACTCAAACAGGCTGAAAGGACTCGTGGTAGTTGTTTCCTCAATATCTTCAAGAGCGACTGAGATCTGA